CAATGAACTTGTTAGTTCATAGAAAGAGCCCTGGAGCTCACGGAGAACTCACCTGTTCATAAAGAGAGCCCTAAGCTCACGATGAACTTATCGGTTCGTAAGAAGAGCTCAAGAGCTTGGGATGAACTTACTAATTTAAAACAAGAACGATGAACTCATTGGTTCATGGTAAAAATCATAGGGTTTGCGATGAATTCATCAAAAGATTCATGGAGCTCAGGAAGTTGTTAATTACACGAAACCTTAATTCGGTGGGTCTCTAAGTTTCCAAATTAAGGAAGTAGGAACCTTTTTTGTTAGGAAGGCTATGCATCGAAAGTAGACATCAATGACACCCCGGGATAAAACAAGCAGGCCTCCAAAGAGGAGTCCTGAGCATAAAAAAAAAAGAGGTCAAAACAAACCCTTACACGTCGGGAGGTCAGCAAGTCGGAAATAAGGAAATCAGTGCACCCAAGCAGCTGCATCTAGACATGCTCTTCCAAGTTGTCGCCTTGCCAAGGAGCCATGACCAACCTAGAACTCGGAACATCAGCACCAGAGGACAGAACATGGTAGCATGCTCTCCACCTCGCCTAATCAGAACGGCTGAACTTGCAAACAGGGAAGAGAACCTGACTAATGGTTACACGTGCACATGTCCCTTAATGCTTGCCAAAAGGATGAACCCTTACTCTAAGACAAGGGAAATGTCTACTTTTATCCAACATAATAAATCCTGACCTCTGGATCTGCCACACCAAGGTGACAAATTGACCCAAGATCCCGTTTATCTATCAAGATCAGTTGTGCAGGTCAGCATATGGGAGCCCCCTTAAGGGTAAGACTTCAGGTACTCATTGTCTTATATTCCAAATAGTAAAAAGTTAGAACCCTACTGTGTACACTGGACTGACTAGGCAAACTTCCTAACCATTTGCTCCAAAAGGTCTGAATGACCTATTTGAAGCAAAGAGGGGAAAGAGAGAGAATTGAGAAGGTTACGCTTGATAAGAGTTGAGAAGATTGCATTCTAATCTAAGAGGAATTACGCAGTCGAAGTAACATAATTGCATTCTGATCTAAAATTATTACAACCATGAGTTGATAAGTTAAAAAAAAAAAATTTTGCTTCATATCCTAACTTTGAGGATGAAGTAAGGCCAGAGCTCTGGAGGTCAGTTGCCGGAGTTCGGGCAGAAGCAGGTTAAGAAGCTGGAAGTTCAGCTAGGCGCATCAACAAGTATTCCTAACCTTTCTGCTTCAAGGAGATCTGAAGCAAGGGGGGAAGAATTGAAGAATATCATATTTGATAGGTGATAGAATAAAGCAACAAGTTGGAAAGCAAATGGAAAGGAGAGTTATAAGCTGTAAATTAAACACAAAATATTACAACTCCAACATTTTCGTTTCAAAATGTTACAATTCTGAGATAATTAGCCCAAAGCTACAAACAAAAATTTCTCTACATCCCAACATCTTAAGTTTCTGAATGAAGAGTAGGCGAAGGTCCGAGCAGTGCAGTAGCTGAAGTCTTAGCAAAAGGAACGGAAGAAGGGCTCCCTAGCTCAGCAGGCGACCTTACTGGCAATGAAGCAGTTGAAGTTTCAAGAGGGCCAAGAGCAGGCAAGGAGGCTGGGACCTCAGCTTCTGACGAAGCTCTAATAGCCAGCTCAGCAGGGATGGACTAAGCTGTAGAAAGCTTGGCAGCCATGGGAGTAGAGGTGTCTAAGGAGGCAGAAGCATCTTAAGCTGAAGTCCCAAGTAGAAGGATGAGCCTTTTAGAGTCTTTGGGCACATCTTCAGAATCAGGAGGAGCAGGAGCATCATCCTCTTCTTCATCAGACCCCTCGGCCTCTTCCTCAAGGGGAATTGAAAAGTTAAAGTTCAGTTTAGGGTAAGTCCTTTCAGCTATACCCTGGGAAGCAATCCACCCTTTTGCCCACCTGGTGAGAACGTCGTCCTCTAGCTGAGCAATCAACTCATCCTTTTTCTGGATGGTAGTGTCTCGCACCTCCAACGCCTCCTTGACAACCTCTAACTCCTCCTTGACAGTATCATTGGCCTCTGCTAACACCTCGTACTCCCTCTTCACGTTCCTGAAAGAAGCCAGAGCATCAAGGGACTTCTGGCTCTCCTTGATCCGGTCATCAGTTTTTGACCGGAGGTCTTCCTTAGTCTTGCTGAGCTCCTCTTGTCTGGATTTGGCAAGGGAAGACTGCTACTCCACTTGTTCTTGCAATTCCTTTACCTGGACCTTAAGGTCATTATTCTCGAAAGCCAGATTGGCACACTTCAGCTCAAAAGCTTTGGAAGCATTGGCCGACCCCTCCAGGGCTTGGATTCGCTTTAATAAGCTGCTTATTTGAATGGCAGTCTGAAGACAAGCATGAAAGATTAGTGCAAAGGGAAGAGCGCAGGACATCCAAAAAAAAGAAGAGAATTTGACAAATTAGAATCTCACCAAGGTACAGCCATACAGCAGCGCAGTGGAAATACAAGTTTTCAGTGGTACAGAAGTTGTTGCATCAATGTTAGACTCTGANGGCAGTCTGAAGACAAGCATGAAAGATTAGTGCAAAGGGAAGAGCGCAGGACATCCACAAAAAAAAAGAGAATTTGACAAATTAGAATCTCACCGAGGTACAGCCATACAGCAGCGCAGTGGAAATACAAGTTTTCAGTGGTACAGAAGTGGTTGCATCAATGTTAGACTCTGGGATAATGGAGGCAATGGCCTCTGCAGCACGCTTCACATCGGTAATAAGAGAATTCTCAGACTTCGAGAAGGCCCATTTGTCTATCATGAGAGGTTGAGAGGTCTCCTTGGTTGATGCAAAAGCATTACAACCAGGGAAACTGCGAGCAGTATCCAAGACGCTCTCAACTTCAGATACAGAAGGGGAGGTCTGGTCTCGCCTAGGAGCATCTTTAGTGGCAAGTCAGGTTCCTTGTGGGAAAGGAAGTCCTGAGGTCGGTGAGGCATGCAGTGGGGATGGTGGGGCCTTCTGGATAGAGGCAAAGGCATAGGAAGTACCCATTTTCTGAACCTTAGCTTGAGTAACTGGGCTCCCACCAGAACTGCCCTCAGCCTTGCACTTCGTACCACCCTTATTTTTCTTCTTCAATAGCTCTACCTTAGCTTGAAGCATCTTAGGGGTAGGCTTCTTGAAGAAGACCCTAGGAGATTTGACTTGAGCTGGTTAGTCAAAAGGAAAAAGAAAGGGAGAAAAACAATGAAACCAAATAAGGGAAAGAGCATTACCTTCTACGTCCTCAGGTCGGATAAAGGAAAGTGGTGTTGGAGCTTCTATCACTGTCTCAGGAGGACCGAATCCTTGCCTTCCTAATTCCTAGGGCTTAATGAGCTCAAAGTACCTCTCTGGATTACACTTAGCCAACTTCAGCTTCACCCACTCGTCCTCGACGCTGAGTTCAGATCGAATGCCTAGGAAAGCAACACCAAAGATGCAGAGGTCAGGAAAACAACTCATAAATCTTCATACCGCAGTTCAGTCAAGCAAGAACTCACCTAAATTATCTAGGGCTGTCCAGGCTTTGGGAATCCCAAGAGTGTCTGTTTTATCGCCAGGGTTGTATTCCCAGTTGACACCCCCAACGAAAAAAAAATTCTTTTTCCAGCCTTTATGAGAACTCGGGAGGTGTGTGATGATCTGCCTAGACGAGGCCCGCTTAGAAATATATAGAAAGTCCTCAGTTGAGGTAAGCTTGACATTGAAGAGGTCCATAAGCAGAGAAATGGTAGGAGTCTCAAGCCCATGTTTCTTAAAGAAAACTAAAAGACCCACTAAAACACCCTAAAAGTTGGGAAAAAGCTGAGCAGGGCAGACATTGAAGTGCTGCAGAACATTTTTGATGAAGGGGTGCATAGGGAAATGAAAGTCATTCTCGAAAGCGGCCACAGAATGACTTTCATGTGGTTCACTATATAGTCATATGACTTTCATGTGGTTCACTATATAGTCATGTGGTTCACAGAATGACTTTCATGTGGTTCACTATATAGTGGTCCACAGAATGACTTTCATGAAAGTCATATGATCTGAAGTTTACAGAGAGAAAAAGCCGGAGACGAAGGTGAACAGTGGTTTTGTGCTGTTTTTTTTTAGCCGNGTGGTTCACTATATAGTCATATGACTTTCATGTGGTTCACTATATAGTCATGTGGTTCACAGAATGACTTTCATGTGGTTCACTATATAGTGGTCCACAGAATGACTTTCATGAAAGTCATATGATCTGAAGTTTACAGAGAGAAAGAGCCAGAGACGAAGGTGAACAGTGGTTTTGTGCTGTTTTTTTTTAGCCATTTGAGCATTTAAGGCTTGAAAGACATGAGATGAGGTGTGCACGGGAACCAAGGGAGCCATGATTGCTGTAACCGTCAAAAAGCCCCTCCTACATGCATCTCACATGCAGACTAAGGTCAGCTAAGCGCAGGTCTGGTCCAAGGTGAAAATAGCTTGGGCCAAGGGCTGGGGGGCAACTGATGATACCTCAAAATAAATCTCAAAATGCCAGCTCAGGAGGTCAGATCAGCCCAGGAGGTCGGACTAGGCAAGCAGAACTCAGAAGAGTAGAGTTGGAGGTCCCCTCGAGATAAGCAATGGCAATGACAACCAAGCCAGTAGCTGGATAATCACGAGAGGTTCCTAAATCGTTAGGAAGCTACAATCAAGACACCTAATCTCACCCAACCAAGATTTTCTCCTAAAATTAAAGAGAACCCCACGAAATAAAGGCAAGAATCTCGGTCAGGATCCCACTTAGCAGGAAATGACCCTATAAATGCAATGTAACACCTCCTAACAGGGGGGAACCTTAGTGGCACAAAAAAGCTATAGCAACCTTGTAATCACAATGAATGAAACAAAAGGAGCAAGAGCCTCCATTCCAGAGTGAACTAGCTGAGCTCCCGAGCTAGTGAACCACTATAATTCTGTTGTTTTAACTTCCAAAATCCTGGATATTATTGCATCATCTTAGCAACCTAACGTGATCTCAATCCATCTTTTGTAAAAGTGTGTTAACACCATCATAACTAAACCCTAAACACTTATATAGTGAACCACAAGAATTGTAAACTTCGTTCCTTTAGTCCCGAAATCAAATCCGAGAATCCGATTTGAAAAGGCAGAGCCAATAAAGATAAAAAAACAAAGGTTCTCATGAAACTATGCACTTAGTATTCCACCTATAAAGATTACTCGTGTTTCTGAAGTCGTACGACATAGGTTACAACTCAGATCATATACCTTGTATTTGCTTCTTGTTGAGAGACTTCAAGTCGAGTCTTGATTTGTTCAGAAAGTACACCAAAGGCCAAAAAGCCAGCCCATGCCAGCCCAGCACCAAGGCCAAACCTCCTGGTCAAGCTTGAAGCTATCCAATCTGTGGAATCAACTGTTTTTGAACTGGTAGTCCTACTGGGTCTCTGCTGCTCCACTTGGACTGATACTGCTGCTGCTGGTGGGGGGTCAGCAGAAGTGGTGGTTAGTGGCTGAGGCGGTGATGGGGGTTGTGGTTGTGAAGGTGCTGAGGGTGGTGGCTGAGGTGTTTGAGAGGATGAAGAGAAGTAATGAGTGGTTCTTGTGATTGGATGAAAAAGAAATGGTGGAGACCCAAAGAAGGTAGCCATTTTTGGTTTACACTCCTTTTTTTAGATGCGAGACTGAAGAAAGATATGTGTGGAGTCATTGAACTAAGTAGACAATGGTCCCAACCTTATCTTTACATGTGAGGATTTTTAAGTTGTGAACCTCTTTAAAATTTCTTTAGCCATTTGGAATATGGGTGTTTGGCAGCAGTGCAACTGAAGTTGTCTCTCAGTTCTATATATTTTGAACTCATATAGGAACGTATAATCGAGTGCTTTTTAAGCTCTTGATGACGTTTTTTTTAAGTATTTTCTTGGTTTTTTTTTTTTTAACTTTTTTCTTATTTTTAAGTACTGGTAATTTTTCTCGCATTTGTACTCCTTTTTTTTCGGTCCTCGTCAAAACTTACCCCTTTCCTCGAAGCCCAACTGTCTATAGAGTAATACAGATAATCACATAGATCCCTTTATTACCCCCCAGTACCCGTCCAATCTGGGAGGCCCTGCGAAGCAAGCACACTAAAAACAATAAGTCATTAAATTTAAGCTATATATTTTTAGAGTAATATTATTTGAATCTCAAAATTTGACTTAAATTATTGACATAATGATGTGATTTTGTAGAAATTATTCGATCAACACCAAATTCTAATATTTTGATGGGACCTACAGTAAATTTAAATATCAGAATAAATTAAGTCAATAAATTATATCAATAAATTAATTTTCAATGATATTACTCATATTTGTAAGGTGATAAAGACAAGATTAAGTACTCTTTTTTGTTCTTTAATTCTTTTTAATTAAATATTTTTTAAAATAATCACCGTACCCTCCAGTTCTGTCTTCCAAATCGTGTTCCCGCTATTCGAACACGGCCCAAGCGCTCTCTCTCTCTCTCCGCTTCCCCTTCCCCTTCCCCTTCCCCTTCCCGTCCTTCTCCAATGACCTGTAGCTGCAGAACACCGTCCATTTTCGTCTCGCTCGCCACCATCCATTCTTGTAATGGCTCCCGATCTTAGTTTTCTTAACTCCCTCCGGATATTCGTCGCAAAATTCGAAATTCCTGACTTGCCTTTGAATCTGTTTTTGTTTTTCCAAAAATCTTTTTTTGTTTTTTCCCGAACTGAATACACACATAGTTCACGTTGGAAGCTTAGAGTGGCTCGAATTCAACGAGCGTAACAATCTGTCAAGAAATTTGGCGCTGGAGTGGCTATCGGTGAGCTACTACTGGTGGACTATTGTGGAAGCTACCAGATCTCACCAGATCTGTGTTGAAAATGAAGACGAAGCCTTCAACACCGATGCTAAGTCTCCTGTGAAGAGATGTGCAGAAGCTTCAAGATAATGGAGGAAGAAGACAATCCTTCTTAATGTCAGATTTTGTGGGTTTCAAGAATCTCCTTAGTTTTGACAATATTTACCGCGTATGCCGTTAGAAGTATTGCCTATAAACAGGCAATGAATTTGAACTTTCTACAAACATAAAATATTTGATTAAAAGGCAAATCAAGAATTTCAAATGGTTGAGATTTTTTTTGTTTGTATTTCAAAAAATAGTAATCGAAAACAATATTTTATAAGAGTTTTAAAAAAGTATTTTTTGATATTTTTATATTATAAAATCTGTTTGATTATATTGTTTTGAAAATAATTTTAAAAAACAGAGAATAATAATATATGTTTAGATAGTGATCTACGAAATTAATTTTTAATTTATCACTTTTGACCCAAAAAAAAAAAATTTTATCACCACAAATCTTTTCTCTCTAGTCAGGCATCACGTCTGCCGGAGCCTTCTCTCCCTCTCTCTCTTATCTCCATTATCTTCTCACACAATAGCTCTCTTTCTCCTCTCTCCATTAGCAGGTGTCTCTCTCTTCATTATCTTTTCACACAACACATACACAACAAAAATGCACCCACACATACAACAAACACACACACATCGTTGCACACACATACATCACACAATACATGCACACACACATATATACACACACACAAATTTGTTGTACAGATAGAGAGAGAGGAGATGACACTAGAATCGACGTTGGAGTCGACACTAGAGCAAACTCAGATCTAATCCCAGATGTGCGTGTGTGTTTCCTTTCGTCTAGTTTTTGCCGGAGTGTGAAGAGAGAAAGACAAGAGAGAGAGAACCCAAAAAAATAGAGAAAGGCAAGAAATATAAACTTTCTTATAGTTGGATATGTTTTGATGCTAAGAAGGTTTGAAGGGAAAACTTCATTAATGAAGAATTGGGTTGTTCTTTGTGTCCTCGTGTTTCCTTTCTTTTGTTTACAAAACACAGAAAACAACTTTAACTTGTTTTTCATTTTTTGTATTTTATATCCATCTTTTCCCAAAAATTTGAGAACAAAAACTCAAACTAAACAAGTTATTCTTGTTTTTAAAAATTTTAGATTAAAAGTATANGTTTTTCATTTTTTGTATTTTATATCCATCTTTTCCCAAAAATTTGAGAACAAAAACCCAAACTAAACAAGTTATTCTTGTTTTTAGAAATTTTAGATTAAAAGTATAGTTTTCAAAATTCAAACCAAACAGGTCCTGAATGTGTTTGGTTAATTTGCAAAGCAGTTATTGTAATGCTTATTATGTTTATGAGTGAATCAAATGATAATATGATATTAGAAATTTAGAAATTGCCAGCGTCCATATGCTTGTGAACTAGAGAGGTAGAGATTGTATGTAGTTGGTCCTATATTTGTTATGGTGGTTCTAATTGAAATGAGATGAAATGAGTTAGTGATGATGGTATAAGTGTTGGTGGTGGTGGGTGGCGACAAGTAATCAGTGTTTTTTAGTTCATTATTTTTCACTGTTTTTAAGTTCAGTAATCTTTTACTATTTTTGAGTTCACAGTTTTTCACTATTTTTTAGTTTAATAATATTTCATTATTTTTGAGTTTATTATTTATTACGGTTTTGAGTTCACTATTTTTCACTGTATTTGAGTTAAGTAATTTTTTAATGTTTTTAAAATTAGGAATTTTTACTTTTTGAATTCAATAATTTTCATTGTTGTTTGTGTCCATTAATTTTTTACTTTTTTTTTAGTTCAGTGGTTTTTCATTTTTTTTTTGAGTTCAATAATTTTTTATTATTTTTTAGTTTAACTAGTTTTTTACTATTTTTGTTGGTGAATGGTGGTGGTTGGCAACGATGATGGGTGGTGGTAGGTGGTTGATTTGTTTTTCACTATTTTGGTTGGTCAGTGGTGGTGTTGGTTGGCGCGATGGAGGTGGGTGGTACTAGCGATGGCAGTGGTCTAGTTTTTCACTATTTTGGGTGGTGGTGGTGTGTGGTAGACTTGGTTTTTACTATTTTTTGTTGCTGGGTGGTTGGTGATGGTGGTGATGTTAGTGGTGGTGGTGGATTATGGTGCTGGTTGGCGGCGATTTTGGTGGTGGTTAATCTTTTATTGTTTTATTTGGTGGGTTAGTTTTTTACTATTTTAGTCGGTAGGTTAATTTTTTACTTTTTTGGTGGGTGATGATGGTGGTGGGTGGTGGGCTAGGTTTTTTACTGTTTTTTGTTGTGGGTGGTGTTTGGTTTGTGGTGGTGGTGGGTGGCGACGAAATTTGGTGTAAGGTTAATTTTTTACTGTTTTGGGTGGTGGGTTGGTTTTTACCGCTTTGAGTGGTGGGCTAATTTTCTACGATTTTGGTTGATGGGTTAATTTTTTATTGTTTTGGGTGGTGGGTGGTAGACTAATTTTTTACTGTTTTAGGTGATAGGTGGTGGTTGGTGGTAATGGGGATAGTGGGTGGTGGTAGATTATGGGGGTGGGTGGGGGTTGGTAGCAATGTTTTTACTATTTTGAGTGGTAGGTGATTATGGTGGGCGGTGGACTAGTTTTTGACTATTTTAGGATGGTTGGTGGTGGTGGATTATGGTGGTGGTGGATTATGGTGGTGGGTGGTGGGTGGTGGGCGGCGGTGATGTTTGGTAGTTAGATTTTTACTGTTTGGGTGGTGGATTAGTTTTTTATTATTTTAGGTGGTGGGTGATGAAGTTGGGGGTGACAGTTTAAGTTTTTACTATTTTGAATGGTGTGTTAGTTTTTTACTGTTTTAGGTGATGGGTGATGATGGCGAATGGTAGGATAGTTTTTTACTATTTTTAGGTGGTGCATGGTGATGAGGATGGTGGGTGGATTTGGGTGATGGTGATGTTGGTGGTGGTTGGCAGCAATGTTTGGTGGTGGTTAATTTTTCATTGTTTTAGGGTGATGGGTGATGGTGGTGGCGACGGTGGTGGGGGGTGGTAGGTGGTGTTGATGGGTTATGGTGGTTGGCAACGAAGTTTTGGTGGTGTTAGGGGTGGTGATGGGTTATGGTGGTTGGCGGCGATGTTTGGTGGTGGGTTAGTTTTTTCACTATTTTGGGTGGTGGTCAATTTCTTACTATTTTGGGTGGTGGATAAAGGTGGTTGGCGATGATTGTGAGTGGTGATTGGTGGTGGCAAGTGGGTGGTGGTGGACTAGTTTGTTACTGTTTTGGGTGGTGATGGTTGGTAGCAATGATGCACAGTGGGGGTGGTTGACTAAGTTTTCACTGTTATGGGTGGTGAGTGGTGGTGGTTTGTGGTTTATGGCGATGGTTGGTGGGGGTAGTGGGTTGTGAGTGATTGTGGTGGGTAATAGGCTAGTTTTTTAGTATTTTGGGTGATGGTGATTAACTGTAATGGTGGGTGATGATAGCGATGGCAGTTGATAGGAGGTGGTGAGTTTTGGGTAGTAATGGTTGGCGATTCTGGTGGTTAGTGGGTGATGGTAAGCCAATTTTTTACTGTTTTTTGTGGTGGATGGTATTGATTAGCAGCGATGGTAAGTGGTGGTTGGCAACGAGTGGTGTTGGGTATGGGTGGGGTGGCATGTGGTGGTGGGTTGTGGTGACGATGATGGGGGTGACAGGTGTTAGTGGATGGGGGGTAGTGGTTAGTGGTGATAAGTGATGGTGGCTGCGATGGGTGATGGTGGTGTTTGCAATGGTGGTGGGTGGTGGTTGGTG